ATAGCCTATGCTTTAGTGTTTCTCTTCCAGGTTTTGTTCATATATTCGGAACTAATTCATGTTTTGTTATAAAGGACATAGAGCATAGATTCTCAAGTTCCATTTTTATATAGTTTCATAACAAAAGAGTAATTTTATTCCTTAGAGTGGCAAAGCATTTTTATATTGTCATTTTTTGTGTTCATAACAATAGTGTATCATCTTTCAATCTTTTATAACAATAGTGTATCATCTGTGTTATAACAATAGTGTATCATCTGTGTTATTCCAGTTTGTGTTAGAGAGCTCCTTGTGAGATACTCATTGATTCTGTAGGTTTTACAATGATTAAAATAATGCATTGTGATGCCTCCAATATTTTGTCTCTCACCTTGATTTGCCTCTAAACATTTAGAGGCCGTTTGGCAACACTCTTTTTCGGCTTATCAGGCTTATCAGCCAACTTTTTCAGAAAAAGTAATAAGCAGAAAAAGTAAGGTTAGAGTTACTTTTTTGGCTGTATTGGTTGAAGTTACTGTAGATGATCATTTTAGCTATTTTTACATATAATTTTTTCTTTATTTTATTTATTAAATATATTTTAAAAATAATTTTTTCTTAAATCAGCAGAATCAACCAATGCAGCCACTTCAGTCAGAACTTCATAAATTTCAGCAGAATCAGCCAAATCAACCGATTTTCGTGCTACCAAACGGGCTCTTATATGTGGTGTCAAGTGTTACTCAACATTGGTTTAATACGAATTATTGCACTCTAATAACAGTTTGACATACAATTGAAGAAAAAAAATCCACAAATGAGAATCAAATTAATTTTAAAGAGAAAAAAACTTCGAGTTGGTCTATTTAGTTCTTTTTTGAGTTGGCCTAATTTGAAGAGGGTGACGATGAGCAATTTGAATTCAATTCATCAACCATACGTTGATAAATAATGTCAAACTTGCTAAAAAAAGGTCACATCTACGTTATGTACATTGCCTTCCTTAAAATAATATATCACAGTTACACTTAAGAAATTCACATTCTATAAGGAAAGAATATATTGAACGGAAAAATTTCATAGTCTTAGATAATATTTGATAGTTTTTTCTCATATGTAGTGCTTTTAGATAAATGATAAGCCAAATAACTATTGAGCGAGAGAATTTTCTCTCTCATATGTAATAGTTTTATGTATAAGAAGATAAGCTTGCTAATAATTAAGCGGGAGAAACTTATGTATCATATGTATTGCTTTTAGGTATTATATATATATATTAAAAGATCTTGCTAACAATTGAGCGGACGAACTTTCTCTCATATACGTAGTTTTTTTAAGTCTAAGATAAGCGGCTAGCAATTAAGCAGTAGAATTATTTCTCTCATACGTAGTGTTATAAGGTATAAGATAAGCCGGTTAACTATTCATCAAGGAAATTTTTTCTGTCTTATATGTAATAGTTTTAGGTATAAGAAGGATAAGCTTGCAAAAATGAAGCGGGAGAAACTTATCTATCATATGTATTGCTTTTAGGTATTATATATTAAAAGATCTTGCTAACAATTGAGCGAGAGAACTTTCTCTCATATACGTAGTTTTTTTTAAGTCTAAGATAAGCGGCTAGCAATAAAGCGGTAGAATTATTTCTCTCATACGTAGTGTTTTAAGGTATAAGATAAGCCGGTTAACTATTCAACAAGGAAATTTTTTCTGTCCTATATAGTGCTTTTAGGCATTAGGAAATAAGCTCACTAATAATTGAGTGAGAAAAGTTTCTCTCTCATATGTACTACTTTTAAGTATAAGATAAGATAAGATATGTAGTGCTATAAGTTACTACCTCCATCCCGAAAAGGTTCGTCATATTGACTTGTCTTGGTCAGTGATGACAAACTTTGAGCGATTGCTTGTGGAATTGGGTCATCAGATGCTAGAAATATGTTATTTCAATTTGTGGATATGACAAGTGGATAATCACAATAACACATAATCAATTATAAGAAATGGTATATGTATTTGTTATTTATTTTCCTGGATATGGGTTTGCTGATTATACATTTTCTGAAATATGTATTCAGAGGCTGATCAAAAGCCTGATACTGCGAACATTAAAGAGGCCGAGTCTTCTTTGTGCGAGAGTGGTTCCTTGAACCAGGTTTGTTTCCTCTTGGTGGGGGGGGGGGGGGGGTCTTTGATTAGGTATTAAAAATATATTTTGAACAATTTGTCTAAGAATGCCCCTTTCCAAATTTACCTTTTATTTACAGCAATTTTGATATTAGGACTTTCAAATTCCAATTCTTGAAGGCTGAAGGATCTACATCCTGACCAAGTATTAAAAAGAAAGAAGCAATCGGGATTGAAGGGCCTTATATCAATGATTGAGAGAGACAATCTTCTCTCTTGCAAGAAGTTGTTGTAAAGATCTTTTTATTTTTCATAACAGGATATTGGTTGTTTTGGACTGTAAATTGGCTAATTGAATGCCATCAAATCACAATCTCAAAAGAAATTAAGAAATTTGTGATTGTGATTTGATGGCATTCAATTACAGTCCATAACAGGCTGTAATTTTTCAAAGAACAGATTGTAATCTTTCTAAATTACTTTCTCCAATAAAATAAAAGTACTCACTTTTAAGGCTTTTATTTTGGGAACAATCACTTGAATTTTTCAAGCTTTAGAAAAGTAACTTGATGTCATGAATAATTTAGTGCGGTATTATGGATTTCATACACAAAGTTTATATTCAATTAAAATACTTTTGAGTAATGCTTAGAGGTACATCCAAATCGTGACATTATATATTCACTTTTATGTGACATACTGACATGTTCTTTAGATGTAGGAGAGGGTCAATCCTTGGTAAGGGTAAAGTGGGATCAAAATTTTAATCGGGTAAACTTTCAATTTCGATTTTAGCCTATTTTTCATAAAGCTAATAAATATTAGAATTAAAACATATTTCGTATTAGTTTTTTAGTCGAAATTGGTGAGAAGTCACCGCTCTTAATTGTGTTGATATATCATATATTCATATGTAGTATGTAGTAGTAAATAAAATTGTTATCTACACCGTAAGCTTTTATACTCAAAACATATCTCAAATAGTATTTAATGGTTTTTTTTGTGGGCATAGGTTTTGCTAGGATAACAGACTACATGGACATAGGACTGGACTCGGGCCGGGCGGCCCGACCCGGAACCGGCCCGGCCCGACCACTGTAGCAACCGGCCCGGCCCGGTGGCCCGGTCCACCGGAGGTTCGGGTCGAACCGGCCCGGTGGTTTCCGGTTCCGGGCCCGGGCCTTCCATATGGTGAACCGGCCCGGCCGGTTCGGGCCCGGTCCGGGCCGGAAATAATTTTTTTTTTAATTTTTTTTTGAAAATTTTTTATGTTTTGGGTTAGATTAGGTATTTTGGTCCATTTGAGGTGGTTTGAGGTGGTGAAAGAGGGGTAGGGGATTAAATAAAGAAGCCAAAAAAAAAAAAATAGGGCGGGTGGCCCGGCCCGGTCTGGCCCGAAACCGGCCCGGAACCGGCCACCCCCGGTTCGGGCTCGGGCCTCAATATTCTGAACCGAGGGCCCGGCCGGGCCCAGGCCCGAACCGGCCCGGTTCAGTCCACCCCTACATGGACATATGGAGGTTGATGAGGAAGCGGCTCCGTTTCACATAATTAGGCTAACCCTGATAGATGTGTTACTCCATTTCAATTTTATGCCTTGATGGTTAACTATGCGATGACAATGAACAAGAGCCAAGAACAATTGTTAGTTACAGTTTCAAGGAGGACAAATCGGTCTGGCTTGAAGATTGTGATATACGATGACGAATGAAAACAGAAAAACTTTGTAAACTGAGTGCTTATTAAAATTCTAATTCTAATATTTATTAATATCTATTTATTAATAGTCACTCTCATTCACATCATAAAAACAATATGATCTATAAACATGTTCATAGGTTAACATTTAAAATATATTTTCATCATATATCCCATGCAACCCCGTGCAACGCACGGGTGGAATACTAGTTCTGTAATAATAAAAAAAGGTAAGATTGAAGTTACTCTTCTGGCTGTATTGGCTGAAGTTACTGTAGATGATCATTTGAATTTAATTTTTCTTTTATTTTATTAATGAAAAATATTTTAAATATCTTTTTCCATAAATTAGTAGAATCAACTAATCCAACCACTTCACCTAGAATTCATAAATCTCATCAAAATCAACCAATAAAATTGATTTGGATATTACCAAACAAGCCCTAGCCACTAGAGCATGTACTCTTATTTTTGAGGCAAACCATTTTTCAATTTACCCGTGTACCGTGCCTTGATATATAACTAATTTAAATAATCCAAATACACCATCATAATTAATATATCATAGAAATATATAATTCATAGCCCCACAATCTCCCAATAATTTTGAAAAAAAATGGGTTGAGCTCATCTGGCCCGGAGCTTTGCGTGGCTGCATCACAAAAACTGCCTTTTTTACTCTTCCCATTGTGATCGGCCTGACTGCCTAAGTAGAGCCACATTATCGCATTAACAAAACTGTACTTCAAAAATATAATGTGAACAGCCAAGTCATAGCAGGGATAAGTCTACCACTGAGGCACTGACTCACCCTGGCTAATCAACCACAAACAAGCACATGCTACTCAACCTAGCCTCGTAAGAGAAATGGTACTTGGCCAAATTCTACTGGAGACAAATATATATCAAGGCAAGCCTATGTAGTCAAGCAAGCCTCAGAAAACAGTACCTAGCAGGCTAGCAGGCTCAACACAAAAGGTACATGCTATACAACAGTGGGGCCAAAGTGCCAAACAGATGGCCCCAACCTCAGAATAAAAGTCAAGACAAGGTTTATCTTTACAACCTCAGCTCGGCACATAGCAAAATCATGCTAAAGTTACAACAAAAGGGAGGACAAACCAGATTGTGATTCATCCTCAAACAAAAGGCATATATGTGAACTTAACAGAAATCACAGACACAAAATAAAAGCACAACAAAGGAAATCACATATATCAACATCACATGCATTTCGAAATTTTCAAGTGTGATGTGTTTCAGTGTTTGGTACATGGCTCAACAGCACAGATCATGCACACAGGCCAATAAATCAAAATCATAGGGAACAGGGCGATCTATTCTTTTCTCTTTCTCTTCTGCTTCTATAGTTGTTGCTCCACCAATTCATCTCCTGGAGCCCCCTCGACCATCAGTGTCAACCAGCAGTCATATCCCTCGCACGTTGTTGCGCTTCTTCCAAATACTTGGCAGCAGCATCAACCTTATCATGAGCAGTTGAGAGATCATTCCTCACATTGACAAGCTTCATCTCAACAAAGGCAAGTTTATCCGCAAGGGCCCCCCTCTCTGTCCTGACAACTTCCAGGGTCTTCCTCAGAAGAGCACAATCATCCTTCAGGGCCTCATTTGATGAATGAAGTTCCTGGATGCAATTCAGGGCTTCCAGCTCCCTCTTCTCAGCCTCAAGCTGGAGTTCAAGGCTACCCTGAGCAGTCTTCAAGGCCCTGTCCAGATAGGACTTCAGCTCATCCATCTGAGCCTGGAGACCCTCACACTTCTTCTGAGCAGCCTCTCTCTCTTGAAAGGCCTTGGCAATATCTTGGTCGTACGCCTTGAACTGACCAGAGAGGGCATTATACTTCCTCTCGAAGTCTATGGCCCTAGTGCCAAGCTCATCACTGCAGAATGCAGTCTGTTCCAAACACCAATCAATAAATAAGCAAGGAAGAGAAAGCTAGGAGGGAAATAACATTCACAAAAGAAACATACAAATATAAACAAACTTTGGAACAAAAAGAATGCTAACCCTGAGAGCAGCACTGACACACTCCTCCGCCAGGTCCCTGTTGCTCATCTTCTTCAAGATCTTTCTGTCAGTGGCCAGGGAGATAGCATCCATGAACTTCATAGATACAACGCTCTCCTTCATAAAGCTGCAACCCCTAGGAAGACTAAAACGAAAGTGTTGGGTGCCAGATTCCTCACCTACAGGCCCCCCATCATCTCCTTCTGGAACAGGGGCATTAGCATCAACAGCGGCTTGTCCCTCTGGGGCACCCTCAGTATTTGGAGGGGGAGCAACATCAGCCTGACCCTGAGCACCATCAGCATCCACAGGGACAGCCAAGTTCTCATCATCTTCCTCCTCTTCAGACTGCACGGCAACAGCCTCATGCTGAGGAGAAGGAACGGCAGCACCCATTTCAGCAGGGAAGGAGGCCAGAGGGTCCTCATAAAGGACCATAGTCGGTAGTACTTCAGGGGCAACATCAGCAGCAACCTCAGCATCCAGATTGACACCAACATCAGGAACCCCTCCATCATCCTTGGAGGGTTCAGAGGAGGAAGAAGAAGAATGGGAAGGTGGAGCCTTAACCTCCTGAGCAGGCAGAGACCCCCTCACCTCCTTGTCAAGCTTGGAGAGCATCTCCTTGAAAGAACCCATACCTATTACAAAGTAAAACAAGATCCATTAGAACAAACAAACAAAGGCAGCAGAAAAGATAAAGTCACAGAAATCAAAAGAACAACAAAAACCTACCCCCCTGGGGGCTTAAGGTTGGCAGAGAAGCACTCATTCTCTCCCCTAACAGGCGACACCCTCGCCCTTTCCCTCCTATGAAAAACCTCATCCTTCTCACTGGCAGACTCATGCCTTGAGGGGGACATATAAGCATCCGCCTTCAAGCTTGGAGAGCATCTCCTTGAAAGAACCCATACCTATTACAAAGTAAAACAAGATCCATTAGAACAAACAAACAAAGGCAGCAGAAAAGATAAAGTCACAGAAATCAAAAGAACAACAAAAACCTACCCCCCTGGGGGCTTAAGGTTGGCAGAGAAGCACTCATTCTCTCCCCTAACAGGCGACACCCTCGCCCTTTCCCTCCTATGAAAAACCTCATCCTTCTCACTGGCAGACTCATGCCTTGAGGGGGACATATAAGCATCCGCCTTCAAATCCTCTGAGGCATGGGCACCAGAGGCCCCCCCATCACCAACAGCTACCCTATGCTCATCAACATGGACCCCACCCACATTGGCCAAGGAAGCAGAAATGGCCTCTTTAAGATCCTCATCCTCAGAACTAGCCTCCCCATCAGAGAATTGATGCCCCTTCTTATACCGGATGAAGTCCAATTCATCCTCCAAAGCCTCTTCAGCGAGGTAGTTGGCAATCTCGTACACACCAGGCAGCAGATACTACTCACAGCTCACAGGTACCTCCGAAATAATCCAATTTCGCCACACAATGGCGACGGAACTTGGAACCCCCTGGAGCACTAAAGGGGGACTCGTTCACCTCGTCAGTACAGATAAAGACAAACTTCGTCTTCCAGTCATGGTACGACGACGGCAGCTTGCTGAACCCACTCATATTGGGTGCCTGCGACATAACGGTGTGGGACTGCACCCAATGTTGAACATGTACCGGAAGAACTCAACGGAAGGCGTCACCCCAGTCCTCTTGCAACGTAGGAGGAAGGCAGTGTTAAAAAATAAAAGCTGTTGGGGGTGAGCTGACAGAGTAGGAGCCCGACAGAGTCCAAATACTCCACCACGAAGAGCTGGAGGGGGAAACGAAATCCATTCTCCAAAGCCATATAGTAGACAGTGAAGAACGAACTAGGGCAGTCCGCCACAGTGTTATTCGGAACTGGCCTCAGAATGGTGCAACTGTTGGACCGACCAGGCGTCGTGCATGAAGCCATTCCTTATCGTTAAGGTCGCACGTGGGGACCACCAATCCATCTGTGTCAATCTCCCCAAACTCCTTGCTAAAGGATTTGTGTTTCCTATGTGAGGGACCCAGAATCGCCCGCAAAGGCTGGACATCCGCAACGGAGGCGGCACCATCTTGCACACCAACGTCCCTCTCCACCTGGCCATTGTCACGTCTTGCGAGGACATCCGCAGAACCGGAATCAGACAACATCGCTAAACAGTTACATGTAAAGCAAAGAGAGGCGAAAACCTTAAAAACGAGCTATTGGGACTCAAACCGAGCCCAAAACTCAAAATTAAAGCCAGAATCCGACTCCCAACCTGACTCCGAGCCTGGATGTACAAACATTCACGCCAATATGGCGCTAGAAAGGTCATGATGGAGTATATTCTCATATACCCATAGAGTATAAAAACAGGACTCATGGGAATCCCTACTTTCGCTTCACATAGTGGAGACTCATGATGGAGTTTATTCCCATCTACCCCAGAGGTATCAACATTCGCGAATAAATGATCCCCAGAAATCACTAAGTCATTTCCCGCTGAGGCCGAGCCTGCCGAGGTCAGTTCTCAAAGTCGGTTCAGACTTCAGATCATCAAGATAAGTCCAAAACTGTATCTCAAGCTGAGCTCACCGCCAACCAAGGTCAAACAACAAAGCTCACCATCAGAATCAAGCTTAAGGTCAACTAACGCTTCACCGAGTCAAAGAGTCAAAGGAAACATTATTGGCAAGCTGAGGTCACCCTCCTAAACTAATACACTACCCCCGAGCTCCACTCCGCAAAGCCCATGGCTCAAGTTCTGCATAACAAATTATGACTGCGCCACCAGCGTGACAACTGGTCAGTGCTGACGTCACCCAGGCGGTTATGCGCATAAGGTTCTAGGCTTACACATGTGGCTTCCTTACGCAATCCAGTACAAAAGGGAATCAATTCAGTTATCTACAGTACCAATCAGTCAACTATACCGGTTCTCTTACCAATCAACCGTTACACGTGTCATCGTATTATTAGATCAAATATATTTTACTATATTGCCCAAGTATTACACTATAAATATCATCTTCCAACTTGTAGAAAGAGATCGTCATTCTTACACACAAGTTTAATGCTACTCTGCCAAATTTCCTACTCATTCCATACTTAGCACTTTTCAGTCTCTCCCTCTTGGTTTCTACTACCTCGGGTCAGCAAAGCCATCAGCAGAAAAATCACATCAAGTAGTACATTCGCCATAAAGCCATTTGCAACCCGATATTAAATAGCTCAAAAACTCACATTTGGATCCATCCCTCATTTTCTGTATAACACTTATATCGGGAGAGGCTAAAATGGGCTAAAACCTCACCCCATATTCATGGTTCCAAAGCAGACAGCAAAAGCAAAATCCAAAGGCAAAGGCACAAACAGTGCATGAGAAAAGTTTTAAAACACTTGCATCAGTATCATTTATAAGATATTTTTACTTGGACTGTTTTCACTTCCAGACCAGACTAGACCACACTTAAACAGATCAAACCAAACTAGACTTCCATAGTTATAAAATACGCAAAGACCAGACATTTACCAAACCAGTTCAGACCAAACCAACAAATTTCAGTCCAAGTAAAAAAAAAGTTATTGAAAAATTTACCAAATAATTTATTCAATTACTTCAATAACTCCGTGCAATAGTTTTTATTTTTTATTTTTTTGTAAATTCCAAATACAATAAAAAAGAGGTAAATCAATATTTTTGTGAGATTTAAATACTTTACATCAAAATATGCAGTTTTTTAAATTCTTATTATTCATAAAATATTTCCGCGAATACATTATTTATAAAAAAAGATAGAGTTTATTTATTTTATGTACAAAATATATGTAGGGTGAATATATTGATGGTTCCTAAATTGTCAACAAACACTTGATTGACAGAACAAATACACTAATTTGCATATTAAGAGAGTGGATATTTAATTTTATTGATAGAGAAGGATTGTAAGATGTCTAAAAGTACTCTATATTTATCTGTGAGAAGAATAGTCTAGTTATTTTTATCGTTAAAACGGATGGCTTAAATTGCTATTACAACATTCAAAAAAGGGGTAAAACGACAAAAGGACCACAGGCAACCGTCAGCCCTCGGACCAAACTTAGAGTCAATCACCTCCAAAAAAGCAATATAACTCGTTGATCCTATAATGGGCATAAATGAGCCAACGGTGGTTAAATCCGACCTCCCATCACCCAATCCTAATGCAAAAGTCTTGCACCAATAAAAGTAACCAACAAAAAAATAAACAGGCTGATCATGAAAAATAAAAATCAAGCAAACAGTAAAATTAAAAATATGCTTATATGAAGAAAGTGATCAAAACCGGAAGAAAGTGATCGCTCTTTTCTCTTCGCAGGCAACATTACTGAAGGTAAAACTTCAGGCACTATCACCTTCCGTCGCTTATATGGAAAAATCTTAGCCCTTACATCTTGCAAATTGTGATCTGCCCTGAAACCAAAATAGTTGGATATACACTTCAGCACAATTGATAGTTCCTGCTAGCCAATTGAGTTCTACACTACTCAGAAGTAGCCCGCATAGTAAAGTTGCATGTAGTAATGTTAAACCGTTACTCGGAAGCTACTCAGTCAAACAGCGAGTACTGATTAGGACAGATTACTGGGATGCAGTTGGTGATTACTAGTTAGTAAAATTTTAAATATAATTGTCCGCACACATTCTATTGATTTCAAAGTATTGAAAATAGAGGTCACTATGTAGTGTATAGGAAATAGCCGGACCATTTAGGCCAATGATATGCAATCTCATTATTTTATATTTCTAATATATTTTATTTTCATTGCTAGAACCCATGACCTTAAACTTTACCACTGTTCCACAGTTCTACTGTTTCTGGTCTTTAAAGGGAAATAATTGAGCACACACATTCTATGGATTTCAATGTATTGAAAATAGAGGTATTGCTCCCCATTTGGATGAAATGCATGTAAAATACTTCAAAGTTCAAATCTCAGATCAAGAAGTAGATCCTGTCAAGTAAAATTTAATATGGCTAACCTCGATGAGAAGTTGGAAAATCACAAAACTTCCATCAAGTACGGAAAAGACATCATGTCAAAGTTAAATGTGGAGAATGATGAGATGAGCAGTGAGTGTAAAACATATCTGACCTCAGTTTTTCAAGTGGGACACAGCCTAAATCAATGTTACATATTGGGCAACATTCTGTCTCCTCATCTGAGAGCTTCTTATAAATGCATCTCCTGCAAACTGGGTGAAGTTCCAAATAAACAAACAAAAGTTTGAATTAAGAAAAGATAGTACTAACAGAATAACAAACTTACAATTTAGTCCAAAAAGATAAGCTAGAGCAACTAGCTCTAACTAGTATTTTCACATCATATGGGAAACCAATGACAATGTCAGAGTTGAAGTAAATGTGATTTCTATCATCGTAGAGCTAAGTAATGCATTCAAAGGGAACATTCATCATAAAGAGAACAAGTTGCAGAGTAAAAACATTAGTATAAAACTATAAATAAGCTTTAACAGTAGATTCCATGTTACTTTAAACAAACTGTAAGTTCCACATTTTAGCACATTTTTCCATGTGGCAATTATGCTAAGATGGATGAAACATTAAACTGTACGCATATAGTGATTTAGTCAGCTAAGCCAACATACCTTCATACCGTAGCTTCATGTTAGAACCATTGTTACAATAAGTTGAACTTTGCACATTCAGAAGCATGTGTAGATAATATTAATAAAAATATAAATATATAATAATAGGGAATCATTTGTCTCTTTACATATTATTTTCTTAGTTTCCTTGAATAGGCTATTTTCCCTGTAGTGATTACGTTCCTAGTACACCTCTCACTCATGTATATTGTATAGGCCTAAAGGCCAGTAATTCTCTTTGGTAATCAGTTAAATAACTTTCCCCACGTGGTATCAGAAGCTCAAATCGAAGTCCCTTTTTTCTCTACTTTGCATCTCTGAATCTTCCTTTCAGCTATCCTGACAGAAACTCCTTCATCTACTTCAGATGAATCCAACTCCAAAACTTAAACCTATGAACAAATAACTTTCTGGACCTCTTCTTCTGGTTTCACTCGTAATCCTATTTTAGAATTTTTCCTATGTTTAAGTCCTGTAAAATTTTAGGTTATATAAAGGGGTTGGGTTGGGTTGGGGTTGAGGGGGGCAATGCTAAACAGAGCAAACACATATCGCAAATGGGCAATGCCAAAACTGAGAAACGTCGTCATAATCGATAAATTATCATAGGAACAATTAAAATCGAAGCACAGGCGCGCAGAGGGATAGGGAGGGGCTTACAGGTCGTCTGGGTCACCCGGTTGAAACCATTTTTGAAAGTTAATAAAGACTCTACTTCTCATTGTTACTCACATATCATTAATAAAATGAATACTTTTGTGTTCCTCATCTTCTGTTGTTTCTGTAGACGTTTGGACTTCTCCTTTCTTGTCATAAGATTTTTCAAATATTGTTATATTTGTTGACCACCATAAAAACAAATATGGTCTTATCCCCTAAAATGCAAATATACAATTTCAGTGTTTATCGCTTTAAAGCTCTTGTTGACAAATCCGTTAATTGTCCAATTAAAACCCTAAAAAACCCTTTATTCAGATAACGATGAGTATGAGTGTATATCAGCATCCCTTGGGACCCACGACATATCCTATCTCATGAGTCACGACTAAATCCTACACCCCCTTAACACAATGGCTAGATAGAAATTATAACAATGACATCGCTACTTTGTTTAAACAAGTCTTTCTCTAGTCTTGTGTGCTATTGTGCTAGTATGCCAATCCAATACTAGCTCACTGCCTCCTACCACATTAATCACTTAGTAACTCCTAATATCTTTCATCATTATTCTAATGTCTCTTGAGTCATTCCCCAATTTACGATAACTATTATAGTTTTTATTGTTTTTGTTACTAGAGGCTCAAATCATACAGCTCTCATAAACTCGAACCCATGTCATGTGACTTAATTGGTCACTCTACTGCCCAGGGTGTCTGACACTTTCTAGACCCTCAAATACATCATGTTTATACCTCTCGTCATGATTGGTTTGTCAAATTCATGTTTCCATTTCAAACATAGCCAAGGCTCCCACCATCACCTATGTTGGTGTGGATGCATGGTGTACCCTCACCCCACCCTTACTCCCTCTGCTACCCGTGTTGACCCCACAGTCCCACTAGTCTTGTCCGCTCTGCCGTCAATTGAATCCTCTCCCTCGTCCAAGTCAGCGAGTTGTCTCCCTCTTTCAAGTCAGCTCCATCTGTGCCAGCCCAACCCAGCCCATTTGTCCAAATTTGCCAATATGTCTGCCTTATCAGTGTCGGCCGAAACCATCCCTCGATCTGAGGGGACCAATGACAAGGATGACTAACACCTCCACTACTGGTTACATTACTTATATTCGCAAATCGCACTTCTCCAGTTTTGTGGTCTTCTAAGAGACAGTGATCTGTTACACGCTCCTCTACTGACACTGAACATCGATCTGTTGCATCTACCCTTCCAGAATTTCTCTAGCTTCGATCTTTGCTCCACAAATTTGGTAAACCCGACACCTACTTATTTAATGAAACACATTGCTATGAATTTTAATTGCAATCAACTGAATAAAACACATTGCCAGCTCAGTCTAGAACACCAAGTGTCTCTCACATCTCTTGTCAATTGCCATGGTCAGCTAGAGGATCTTCTCACGAAGTGTTTGTCACAACCACGCATCAAAAGCTTAGTTTCCAGGATCAGGCTCACTTTCTAACCGTTCATAGGGGATATTAAAAATTAGAAATTGGTCAAAATAGGAGTAAAACATGAACAAAGTTTAAAAAATAGGACCTAAGTATGTTTTATTCTCAAAATGGGACTTGTTTAGAGTGAATGTGTTCTTTATAGGAGGAGAGAGTTCTCCATTATTAGAAGTTTAGAACTTGGTCAAAGCATGAACAAAGCACATAAATAGAATTAAGAATGTTTTATTCCTATAATATGACTTATTTAGTCCAATTTAAAGAATAAAACTATAAAAAGTTCTCAAAATGAGAGTGAATGAATTCTTTTTTGAGAAAAAAATGGCTCTCCTATTTGAAGAAAAAAATTATGTTTTCCTGTTAAGGAATATTATATTAATAATTACAACATTGGGAAATAATTTGGCTCAGTACTTATATTAGTAATTTATGTTTTCCTTTTCATGTACTACGTATAATAAGTGTAATATATATAGGACCCAGAATGGGTTAATCAACTAAATACACAGTAACTATAAAAAGAGTAGCGACTGGTAAAGATCCGCTAGCAGATACTGAGCATATAGATGCTTAGTAAGCAATCCAATCGTAGAAGGTGTAAGACAATGCGAAACAGAGCAAACACATATCGCAAATGGGCAATGCCAAAACTGATAAACCTCGTGATAATCGATAAATCATCGTAGAAACAATTATAATCGAAGCACAGGCGCGCGGAGGGATGGGGATGGGCTTACACGTATGAAGGCATTCGGAAATGGTAGTGGCATCTCTTAAGAGCTTACTGCAAAGAGGGCAAGTCATGTGTGCCGCAATCGTTTCTCTCCTCACTTTCACGACTTGCTTCTGTAGGGATATTCCACCATCTTCTTCCAAGAGGCATCTCAAACCTTTTAGGAAGGAACTATTAGACAAATGAATATCTGAAAAGATTTCTTCGAGATAGCTGGGAAAGTTCATAGCAATGGGAATGGAAGCTTGCTCGGAAGGATTGCTGGAAAGATTTCCCTCTCCCATATACACCTATAAATAGGGAGTAGAAGCTTATTGGGAAGGATTGGTTGTGTGTAATAGTTGAGTATTAGAGTTTGTTCCACTGTAATTCTGTTCTTGATATTGAATATAAGAATTTTCAATCCCAACAAGTGGTATCAGAGCAAGGTTGAGTTTCCATACACTTTTTCTCATTTTTCAGAAAAATTTCTACAGGTTAGAAAATCGTGATTTTCAAGTTGCTCGGAATCACGATCTGATCGTACTGTTAGATTCGTCTCGTCGAGGCGAGAAATCTGGTATTTGGTGAATTTTTTGGCCACCAGAAGCAACCGTACGCGCCACCCAACCGCTGCCTGGAACTGCCTGCGTCATCACGCGCAGTCCAGAGGAAGAAGACGACCGGTCAGCGACACGTCAGCCGTCATGCCATCGCCACGTCGTGCTGAGTCATCATCCACGTAATCCATCCGTTTGCTGCCACATCATCTGCCACGTGACGCCACGTCAGCGCCAGCTACTGCCACGTCATCCGCCTGCTGGTCTGCTGCCTGAACCGGACCGAACCGGTTCGTTGTTGTGGAGTCCGGTTCACATATTTCCAGACCGGTTTTGGACGAGGTCAGACCGGTTCCCACCATTTTCGGTCATTCTGAATCAAACGGTGAGCTCCGTTTGTCCATGTTCGGCTTTGAAAATAAGGTACGGGATATATTGAGTTTTTTTATTATGGATAAATCATCATCGGACACCATGATTGCGCTCACTTCCACAAATTACAATATGTGGAAGCCTCGGATGGAGGATTTGCTAAATTTGAGGGAATTAGCCGATCCTCCTGATAATAATGGCGTGAAATCGGATAAAACGACGGATGAAGAATGGACAAAAATGAATCGAAAAACTGTCGCACAAATTCGACAGTGGATAGATCATAGTGTATTCCACCATGTCGCTCAAGAACAAAGTGCTTACACACTATGGGAGAAGCTTGTCAACATGTATCAAGCGAAAACTGCACGAAATAAGACGTTACTAATGAGGCGATTAGTAAACCACAAGCTACGGGGTGGTATTTCGGTGTCAGAACACACCAGTCAATTCCAGGATCTTGTGAATCAGTTGAGCACCACCGGATAGGTTCTCAAAGATGAAGAGCAGGTGATACTACTCTTGAGCTCTCTACCTCACAGCTGGGAAACTCTTGTTGTCACTCTTAGCAATTCTGCTCCCAATGGCAAGGTGACTATGCAGATGGTCACGGATGCCCTTATAAACAAAGAAGCCCGAAGAAAAGAAGTCGGGATTGAACAATCATATGCCTTCGTATCAGAAACTAACAGACGGGGGGAGGCAGAAATGGAGGAAGAAGTCGAGGTAGAGGTCAAGGTCAAAACAGAGGTAATTCTCAAGTTTGCGGCCGATCGCAAGAACGAGGTATGTCCTATGAAAACAATACTTGGTTTGAAGGATATTGTAATTACTGTGGTAATTATGGGCATAGAAAAAGAGATTGTAGAAAGTTTCTACGAGAGCAGCCACAGACGAGTCAAAATACTAGCCAAGAAGATGGTGAGACCATGGTTAGTTTGTCATCAGACGTGTTACTTGTTGCACATGGTGAACAAGAATGTTTACACGTAGGCACTCATGATGTTGAGTGGGTGATTGATGCAGCTGCATCTTTTCATGTCACTCCACACCAGAACTTATTCACATCTTATAAGTCAGGAGACTTTGGAGCTGTGAAGATGGGAAACACCAGTTTTGCGAAGATTGTTGGCATTGGTGATGTGCATATAACAACCAATGTCGGATGCGCCTTTGTGTTGAAAGATGTTCGACATGTTCCGGATCTTAGATTGAATCTTATCTCCGGCACAGCTCTGGATTAGCAAGGATATCTTAACCAATTCAAAGAAGGTACGTGGAAATGATCTAAAGGTTCCTTGGTTGTTGCTAGAGGCCATATTTATGGTACTCTCTATACGACTCATGCAAAATTGTGTCATCCAAGTCTCAATGTTGTTGAAGAAGAGATATCACCAAACTTGTGGCACCGGAGGTTAGGCCACTTGAGCGTAAAGGGATTGACAACTCTTACTAGGAAGGAAAGCATTTCCATGGGCAAAGGTGTTGCCCTTGATCCATGTGAGCACTATCTATTCGGGAAACAACACAGGGTTTCCTTCAGTTCTACCAGGAAGAACCATACAGAATTACTCAGTCTTGTCCACTCTGATGTATGTGGACCCATTGAAGAGTAGGGGTGTGCACGAGTCGGGTTCGGGCGGGTCGGGTTTGTGAACCCTAAACCCGTTCGGGTTTTTTAATTTAATTACTAGGCCCGACCCTTTGATATTTCAAATCGGGTATTTCGGATATTTTTAAGTCGGATATTATCGGATATCGGGTCGGGTTTCGGATATTTCGGTTATATTAAAAAAATTATAATTGGATAATTAAAGTGTTTAAATGCCACCTTGACAAAAATTGTACACACTAGTGCACTAAACTTCCAAATTACACAAATAGTTTAACACAAATTGCACAAATAATTACACAAATAATTGAACACAAGTATTAATTTAACATATTCAAAGTACACACTACATAATTTAATATATTTCGGATATTTTGGTTATATCAAAACACATTATAATTGGATGGTTAATTAAAGTGTTGGAATGCCACTTTAACAAAAATTGTACACACTAGTTCACTACACATTCAATTTACACAAATAATTTAATAAAAATTGCACAAATAATTACACAAATAATTGAACACAAGTATTAATTTAAATATTCAAAGTACACACTAACATATATTTCGGATATTCGGGCGGGTCGGGTTGGGATTTCACAAACCCTACCCGCCACCCGGTCTAGGCCCAATACTAATCGGATTTTCGGTTTCGGGTTTTTCGGGTCGGATATCCACTTCGGTTCGGATAATATCCGAAAAAAATATCAGGTTTTTCGGGTCGGATCGGGTTTTGCTCAACCCTATTGAAGAGGAGTCACTCGGAGGAAGCAGGTATTTCGTGACATTCATTGATGATGCATCACGAAAGGTATGGGCTTACTGTTTGAAGAGTAAGGATCAAGTGTTTGATCGCTTCAAATTATTTCATGCCATGGTAGAAAGAGAAACATGGAAGAAGCTGAAGTGTATAGGTTCAGACAATGGAGGAGAGTACACTTCCCGGGAGTTCTCAACATATTGCGCTGCGTATGGACCATTATGGAGAAAGTTCGTTGCATGCTGAGTATGGCTAAACTACCTAAGCCATTCTGGGGTGAAGCTGTGCTGACAGCTTGTTATCTTATAAACAGGTCACCTTCTGTTCCTTTAAACTTTGAAGTGCCAGAGAAGAAATGGTCAAGAAGAGATGTTTCTTACTCTCACTTGAAAGTGTTCGGGTGCAAGGCATTTGCACATGTGTCCAAGGAGTTGAGATAGAAGCTTGATCGCAAGTCAAACCCATGCATCTTCATCGGGTATGGTGATGAAGAATTCGGATACCGGTTGTGGGATCCCGAATTGAAGAAAGTTGTACGAAGCAGAGATGTTGTATTTCATGAAAACGAGTTTCATGGGTGCATGTGTTCCAATAATCCGCCAACAATATACTCTAGAAGACGAAGTGCTTGTATCATCAAACATTCCTCTCAGCGACAAGGAGATGCATGATACTACTGAACAAGAGAGTGATGGTTCAGTAGGTGATGATGATGCTCACAGTGATGATATTCCTCAGCAGAGGGAGCCTTCATTTGAAGACGAAGCTGAATGTATTCATGTTTGACGTTCTATGCGAGTGGATGCTTGTTGCCAGCAAGGGGGAGCCAGCGATCATCGCAGGAATGAGAGAAACAAAGAAAAAGGTGGAGGGGGAGATTTGTAGAGATATTCCACCTTCTTTCTTGGAAGTTGCCAAGAGACATCTCACACCTTCTAGGAAGGAGCTATCCAACAAATGAACATGGGAAAAGATTTCTTGGAGATAACTGGGAAACTCCATAGCAATGAGAATGGAAGCTTGGATGCAACTTTCTCATGTCTCCCATATACACCTATAAATAGGGAGTGTATTGGTGTTCATTTGTATCAGTTTAGAAAGTGAGAAAAGTGTGTGAAGAGTGAAATACACTTAGAGTAGAAGTGTATTGGTGTAAAAGGATTGGTTTTTTGTAATAGTTGAGTGTGAGAGTTTGCTCCTCCTATTGTAATTCTGTTCTTGATATTGAATAGAAGAATTTTCCAATCCCAACAGATTCGACATCTTTCTCTCGCTCGCTCTTCTCTGCGATCTATCAGCTCTTCACACTCCAAAACCAAAGCCCCAGAATCGAATAAGCTCCAAATGCATCAACGTAATTGAGCAGTGCATGCTAGAACCGCCACATACAGGGTGGAACTCGCGTCCATTCCCGCTCTTAAATCTGCATTAAGCTCAAACAAAAGTAGCAGATATTACACGACACGAATTAATGCAGAGAAAGACGCAGAGATCCGATCTGGACGATGACAAACCTTCACATCGACGGCTTAAAGTTGTGTGGGTTTGACCGAGGGGAAGTTGAAGGTGACGGGAAGATTTGGGTCCGTCGGTGAGTGGCCGATGATGTATGAGAGTATAATAATACGACTATAAATAGGGGATTAGGAGAGGGGATACGCAATCGATAGCCGCTTCGGCATGAACCCAAAGTACATACGGGGTACGTCGTATAATAATTGTATAATTAAAGAGATTTATCTAACGAAAAATTATAAAAATATGATCACTAATTTATATTCAAATGTTATAACGGATGATATACCGATTACATATGATTCTTCATCTGATTCTTATATTGATAGGCTCGTGAAGTTTACCAGCATTCAGTTCGAGCAATTAGGAAGGACAAACACCCGAAAATTCCGAGATGGGGTTGTGGTTTTGCTCTGGCATCTTATTTGGCCGAGAGTTATGTCTGCTTCATGTGAGCGTGTATTTTGTTCTTCACCTAGCAATGTCTGGAGGTTGTGTCTTC